AATGATGACACACTTTTTTCGACGACATTCAATAAATGCTTATCGAGTAACGGTAAAATTTACAGAATATTTTGACTGAAGAAAAGTTATTTCTATATATAGAAAGTGGTTGCTTCAATTTTTCAATTGAACACAATATCTTAATTTATTGTTCTAATTTATAGCTCTTTTTAAATCTCCAGAACCACGGGATTATCCAAAAAAATTTCCTTTTCTTTACAAACACTTAGTTATTCCTATAGTTCTTTTCAGTTCTTAAAATGCTTATGTTTTCCATTATTGTTTCTAAGTTTTCCTAAATGCATTCACACTGGTATTCGAGTAATGATCAAACTTATACAAACTTATGGAAGTTGCGTGGTCTTTGGTGAATACTGTATTATAATTACGAAACGACTGCACCTTTACCTATAAACATAACAATAATCAAATGTTTGTTAGCTGCTCAACTGCCAGCACATCCAATCTTCCATTTACCTCAGTCAAAGACGCATTTCGGAGAAATAAAAATAATTTCTATCAATAACAACTGGGAGTTTTGCGCAAAATAACAAACAATTAAGCTTCCACGTTAGATTGGAGAAGAAAGCGTGCCGCAATCTCATTCTTATTAAAAAAGCTTATACACAACGACTTGTTTGCAATTCCCCTTCAGAAAATGGGCAACATGCGGAACCGTTCCTGGTTGAGTGTCCTCCTCATCTACATGCGCTATATCTTTATAATATGTTATCCTATTATACCGTCACCGATTCTCTTTTTAAACCCTAGGCCTGTGACTTTCTGAATACTAATCAGTGTTTTGTTGTATATTTTCAAGATATTCTGAGCACGCAACTACCTATAGAGGCTGGATTTATCCAAACTTGGGTGGATCAAATAATTGTTTAGTGGCAAAAAATCGGGTTAAATGAATGAGAGTTTTCTCCGCCTCAAACGGCTTTTTGGTTTCCTGCGAAAGGCTGTTCAGTTGCTAATGTCGTGCTTCATTCTCAAGCATACGCAAACCGGCATTAGCACATGAACGAAATCTAGAATGGAATAATACACAACCTCTGATCAATTTTAATCGTTAAAGTCCTATAAAAATACTAATCTATGTTGAGGAATGCAGAAGATTTGCAGAGGCCTCAAGTTCCAAAAATTAAAAACAGGGCCTTAAAATATTACCAGTAAATATAAATATAACCATCGCGTGCAAGCATAACTGTGCTATTTTCTTTATATTGAAAAACTTTCCTTTCGTCAAATATATTTATAGATATTTAAGTTATTGAATTACAACTAGCTTCAGATCGTCCTTTAGTTTTTGACAAAATTTCCCACGATTTTAGTTCTTTTTAACCTTTGTTTCACAAACGCAGATTACGTTAGACGTGTATATCCAAAGCTTTAAGATAAGATATTACTTAAAAGCACTTATGAATAACGTGACTTGTTGGATATTTGTTTTAGGAAGATAGCCGTGGGGCTATACTTATGACTTTTCGTAAACACCAAAACTCACTACCGCGCGAAAAGAACTCTCATGACATAACTCATATATTGTTTTGCCTGTCAATGAGAAAAATTATATTGTAGGTTACCTCTTTAAAAAGCATTTTATTAAGATAATCATTACACACATCTGTGCATGTCATCCTTTTTCAAGGTAATGCCATAGCGAAAATTGAGAATATTGACAAATTTTCTCAGTTTGTCTGCAAATAAGTGATGTAGTTTTTCCTGGAAATGGAAGAGCACACATTGCCTCTTATACTGGAGCATGTTCACCGTATTTATTTACTTTTAGGTCCCTTTTTAAAATAACAAACAAAATAAAAGGCTGGATAAATATCTACTAATTTTTTGCGAAAACTGGTAATCATCCACCATTTCCGTTTCCATACTACGCATTAATGGAAACCATATTGTACAATAAGGTATCTTACCACATGTTTAGTAATTAGTTTAGTTTTAGTAATAATATGTCTGCCCTCAAGTACGGGATTATGTAGAATAGTTTTACGGTCAATGACTCACGCCAAAGTTTTTTTACGCCGTTTCGTGATAGAACAAGCTCATAAATTGGCAAAGGAAAGTTTTTTTTAAATTTAGTTGATCCAATTGGAAATAATCTCGCGGCGGCGGTGGGGGTTGAACCCGCACACCACGGAAAGCTTTTACGCAGCCAATGCTCTACAGATTTTAAAATTAAATCATCCCTTGTCTGCGAAAAACAATTTAATTCCTTATAATTGTCTTCATATGATGTTAATCTACTGAAGACTAGATAGTTCGTTTCAAGAAGAACTGTTTTTGTTCTTTCCATAAATTAACTTATTATAACTATTTTGCTTACGGTTTTCTGCTTTTTTTGGTCTCCTGCGTCCCCGTAATGCCCAACTCGCCTAAGGTCTATTACATGATTCGGGGGTTTTCACTGTTCCATATGTTGACCATTCATTCTGAATTTAAAGTGTAATTTAATGTTTTAAATATGGCAAGTCCACATGCTCCTTTTTTATTTTTAACGCCATGTGATATTTTGTAAATTCTGCTTAGGAGTCGAACGCAGCCTATATTTTGCTTTTAATGAGCGGCTTATGGATCACTGAGGTTATACCACTCTGCATGACCACCCTGCTACCCCTCGTACTTGCACCGCTGATGGGTCTGGTTCCCTCTGCTGTCATAGCCAAAGAATACTCATCAGTGAGTTAGTGTCAAGATACCCCTTAAATAGTTGAGAAACGCTACTGAAACTCCAGTAAAGGTCCCTGTTGCAATTCACTGTTTCAAAGTTGTAAAACGGACAGAGCGTAAAACGGGCAGTAATATCCAGCGCATATATACTTCCTGTGGTAAAAGGGTGGGCGGCAAGTAGTCATCTCGTCTTTCCCCCTCTCGTGCTTGCCGGATTGTCGCGCGCGTGGAGCGGGGGCCGTTCTTAGGGTCGACGTGACACGCGATGGGTGCTCCCTGTGACTGCGGGTAGCGTGGTTTCGGGCTGCGTGGCTTTTGACGTTGTGATTTCTGGTGGTGTGGGATTTTTGTGTGCAGTCGGCCAAGGGAGACAAACCTCTATGTACCAGCTTCCTTTGACAGCAGAGGGCGGATTTCGCTAGAGGAATTGCCACTGCCTGAGCTGTGGTTATCAACCGAACTACATAAGCACTGTACATGCCTACCCGTTTTACTCTATATATTATTCTCCGTGTAATTGTAAGAGCCTGTTGATGAATGATCGATACCACAGCTGTTTGCCAAATCATCTTTTCAAGCGTTAAATAAAACAAATGGGAATTTTTGAAGAATTCGCTATTAATCTTTATCTGCTTTCAACCCCAATCCTTCACCTACCCCGTTTCGGAAACAATTTAGAACTCAATATTCCTGTTCCTGGGTGGTATGCTCATGGCAATTGCAGCCGAGAATGTGAATTTGCATCTTCGTATCGCCGTCGCCTTCATGCGTTGAATGGGTCATGATGCTCTTTTGTGAGATTCCAAGCGTAGAGTATTGTAAAAATCAAATTTTTAGGATGTTTTGGGGCTTTGTATACCAACTCACATAATATATTATGTTAATTATCATACAAATGAATTGGCCTTCAGATAATTTATCGAATGCAAACGTATAAGCGTCAGAATTTAGTTATCTTTTTGCCATATGACAACTCCTTACAACCGTGGTAGGCCTCTTTACTGGCTGATCGATCATGCACACTGGACTTAATTTAGTATCTACTTGCAAGGCCCAAACTGTACAAAAAGAAGAAGTTATTACTCCGAGAGTTTGAACGTGCTTATCATTGCTCAATCGATTGCAAACTTTTGCCATGATCAGGTACCTTGCGGCCATATGCCATTTTTTTCGAAACTGACAAACTTCACTGCATTAGTAAGAGACACGCCCTCCGGCGAAGCAGTATATACATTCGTCGATCACCACTGGAATAAAATGTAAGACTTTCCGTTTCCAAAGAAACTCTTTAAATTCCAATTTTGTGTTCCTTAATTGCAATGAATTGAGCACAATAACACTCTCTGGGCATTCGACGCGTTCTCCGAAATAGACGAACTGAACACTTGTTTCTGCCATATTTGAAGCCGAATTGTGCTTACTGATTAGCTGAATTGTAATACTTCATTAAGAATCAACTAACCCAATATCCCGTTAAGGAACTTTGGATAGAGTAACTATTACATTGAATCCTCACCCTTTCCCTACCCTTAACTTTTCATCTAGCATTCAGATATTTTCCTAAGCCTAACCAGAAACGCTACCCCTAATTTATACAGCCCACTTAAATCAAATATAAAGGCATGACAATTTAACATAAACACCGGCCTCACCTATTCGATCGTCGCTATTGCTGTTATCTTTTCTAGGCTGATGTTGAGCGTGATGCTGCCAACTTGGTTTCTCTCAATGTGAATGAGCAATACTGCCACAAGCGTGATGATGATTATCGTCGTGGAAGCGCTTTTAGCGAAGCTGGATGAAGTTACTGACGGTATTTAATATTTGTTATCTATAAATACAAAGAAACTAGACCCTGGTCTTCAGACCCATAACTATAACTATATCATACTTTTATCGCAGCCGAATCAGATACGTCAACCCTGAACGAGGAAACTGAGTATGCTTCAAATTTACGATCTCAAGCCCGCTGTTTTATTCTTACCTGATGTTCCGGACAACGTAAACGTTGTGAAACAGTTTCAAAAGATTTTTTCTCTCCTTTAGCATCGAAAGCAAGAAACGGAAGCGATTGCGTCGCTTTGCCACGGGACGCAGTTTGTCCGTTTGCTACACTGCCAGTTGTGGTGGAATCGCTACCTTGATAGAGTCTCCACCGAATGTCATATTTTATGGTCTTCCAGTCAGGTAAGAAAGCCCTGATGCGTGATGTATCTCAGATTCATTTCATTCAAGCGAGATGTTATGTTTGAGCGCTGGTAGAATCTCCCTACTCTATTGCATAAAGTATTAGTCATTTCCGTGATGTTATTGCCTCCAGATTGCAGCCGTTACGGAACCGACATTCCAGTAAACTTCGGGTCATGGATGGCCTTTGGATTCCCTATCTTCCTTCTCTGTCTAATTTCGACCTGGCCTACCCTATGCGTAATGTTCCTTGGACCCAAGTGGGTGTACCTACCGACAGTATGTGACCGAATATTTCGGAAACAGTATTGTAGGAGCCTGCCTACCCCCAGCGCTGCCATGATCACTCATTCTGCCTGCTCTGTAACCGTGGACAGTCAATCGATTTTTGGCGCATCGCTGATTACTGGTTCACATTGCACCCGCCTCACCACTTGTGATGACTGATCTACTAAGCGTGAATTGGCAGTCAAATCAGTCAATCAATCAATCGATTTTTGAGTACCGCTGATTACTGGTATGCGCCGGATTTGTGGTCAGCGCTGGCAAAAACACACTTCACATTAAGCCCATTCAACAGGCAAGGCGGAACTCACTCGGCATTTCGCCCCGGTGCGCGGCGCTCTCTCTCGGCTCTTATGGTCGAACTCTACCCCAGGCCGAGTCAACCCTTCTGTTAATTCTTCTTCTACTTACTGTGTACAGAATACAATCTCCTTCTACCTTGGCTTCCACGACTTCTATCTTCTTCAAAGGAACCGGCCCTGGAAGATCGCAATAGTTAGGGTTTAACCGACTTAGCCTTAACCGCTTTGCGACAGTATCATTTCTTTATGCTCTACTTATAACCATTTAAATTTTATCTCCTAAAGGGAGTGCTTTAGATGTCACCGAATGAAAAGGAAACAATTATCACACAATTTTCTGGCAGTATTCTCTGCGACCTACACCTATATCGCTAACTGCCTTCACTTACTCGAGTTGGTGACCTCTGACTAAGTTTGCATGCTCAAATGTAATAACAGTCCAAAGCTCACAGATTTGGCATTTCACAGCGACCTAAAGTCCGCCTAATCGATTCACCAAAGCACAAAGTTCCCAAGTAGTTGTTTTGTCAGCTCCGTCTGCTTACAAAGAACTCAGATACCTCCATCCAAAAATTCGATGCAATTTCTAGAGAGAATAAAGAGCTTCAAAATTAGAAAAGACGAAACAGTGGTATCCTTTGACGTTGTTGCCTTATTCATGCCCATAACTCTGGAGTTAGCAAAGACATGCACAGCAGAACCCTTGTAAGGTTACGCTACAGATGAACTGGCAGATATCCTGCTGGAACTTCTGGGATTTTCGCCCAGAAACAAGCTTTTCTTCTGCCGGGAAAAGCTACGGACAACAAAAGTTGTGTTTATGGGGTCACCAATATTCGGCTTTATGGCGGAGGCTGAAATGCAGAAAGTAGAAGCTAGAACACTCCGCACATTCAACCCAAAGGTTGCGGTTCCGATGCGTAGACGATACATTTGTAATCGTCAAAAGAGACCAAGTGGAATAGCTCAATCAAACCCTTAACACCACCTTCCCCGGGAATCCAGTCTACCTTCAAAACAGAAGCAAACGAAAAACTCAAATTCTTAGATATCCCCGTACAGAGGAAGACTGATGGGCCACTTCAGAGTTAATTGATCCATTAAGATACATGCTCTGAGGTCAGCTAATATTTTTGGATTAACCATCGATTGCCACACAAACGCAGGTCTACCAACAGCTTTCTCAGTCGAGCAAAAACACGTTGTTCAGGTGAAGAAGCCTACCAAAGAGAAATGAAGTGTCTGTGTCAACTGTTTTCCCAAAATAGGTACCCTCCGGACCTTGTCTGTCGATGCATACGGCAATATTCCTTAAAAGAAAGGGCTACCCTCAGAGCCGCGACCACTAAAGCGCGAAAGCCAACGAACTGGCGAAGGCTACGATATGTGAAGGATGTATCTGAATTCCTCGCAGGATAACTAAGAAAGCGTCAGATACAAAGGAAGGAAGAAAGGAAGCTGTCTATAAAATACTCTGTACCTTTGGTAATGCAGTCTACTGTGGTCATACCGGAAGAGCTCTATCCAACCGCTTACATGAACACAAGTTAGCGGTGAGGAGACGAGACCACCTATTGGCGCTTGCCATGTGCACACTGGGCACCGGACATGCATTCGCATGGAAGTGAACCCAAATATTTGGCGCCTGTCCAACTAGGTATTTCTGGAGGCAATGCACTCGGACGAGGCATGCATCAACAGGTACAGTAGGTGACATATCTGATGAAAGATTTAGGAGTGGGGGATTTAACATAAACTTAAGGTCGTTTATGAAGTTCACTG